GAGCCACGGACTCATAAAGCGAGTAAACACATAGAGCGCAAGTACCACCTGATACGAGAAATTGTTGGACGAGGAGAAGTCGTTGTTGCCAAGATACAATCAGAGGACAACCTAGCAGATGTTAGGGCGACATAGTAGACTACTGTTTAGACGAGCTGATTCTAAGAAGAACTATTTCGTCTCCTTGGCATGCAAATTGATTATATATATTGAAAGAAACTGTGGTTATTTTGTTTAGCCATGAGCTTATAAAGCATAAGTGGGAGATTGTTAGATGTATGTTGTAAAAGCTATGTTTTGCAGATTCTATCAATTCCATTTTGATCTGTCCATCATGTTCCATGTCTTATATTGAGATAGTGTGGTTCGAAGAGTTTCGAACAGAAAGATCACCTATCGGTTCCTTATAAGACTAAACTATTCGTTCACATTCTAGACAGGCAGTGAGACCCCTCTTGGAAAAAGACTTTAGTGTATTCTTGATTCAGTTGGTCTTTGACTGAAAGATTACACTAGCACTTATGTTAAGTGTTGAACAGGACCGCGGAAGGATAAGGATATGAGACTCACTGACCGTTGTTGTAACCTAGACCTTCAGTGATTGATGCGTTCTCTTAAGCTGTGAGATAATATAAAATAGGCATATATTTTTATTCCTTATTTATTTGATTTACCAAGTGATTCCTATTTTATTAGGATGACATACGAGGTATTTTGGTAAGTAAGAATAATTATATGATGTGCTATTATAAATTATTTACGGTCACTATGTTCCAGTGTGCTGAATTGATGACGTCCCCGAAATGAGCTCAGGAAGGAACATTATGTTAAACCCTGAAGGTAGACGATTTTCTGACATAATGGTTAAGGATCTGAGTGGTACTAATTTCGGAAATGAATAAGAAGTTGGTTAATTATTTTGTCAGTAATTTAATTAATCAACGGACATTATATCTTAAACATAGGGAGGTAAATCGATCAATCGGATTAATATTATTTAATCATGGAGGCTCAATTTTATTGGTAAAATAGTGGCTAAATGGGGAGAGCAATAATATTACTCTAGTGGGATGTTTTATTATTTAATTCCATTTAAATAAGAATTAATATTATTCCATATTAATTAATTTAATTAAGAGAATAAAATTCCTACTAGAATCTTCTCTTGGGATTAGGAGACTAAAGAGTCTTCTAGAAGATGGAGATTAGTATGAAATATATTTCCTACATTAAATAATTAATTGGAGTAGAATTAGACTTTCTAAATTAGGAATTAATTTTATTCCATGATTATTAATTTAATTAGGAAAGATATTCCTACTAGTATCTCCTCTAGTGTTAGGAGATTTAGGAGTCTTCTAGAAGATAGAGATTAGTAGGAGATCTCCTTCCTACATTAAATTAGTATTGGAGTAGAATTAGGATTCCTAGGCCTAAATGGGATAAGCCCATATTTAGCACCTTTGTAAGGTCCCTAATGGAGCCTATAAATACACCATGTCTCAATCTCTCCTACATAGATGTGTTGGCCGATTTTCTCCTCTACATACGCGCGAGAAATATCTTTGTTCGAGAGTTAAGGAGATTCGATTAAACGTTCCACCAAGTTTGATCGAAGTAGGTGTTTAGGTAATCCATTAGAAGGCTTTTTGGTAAAATATATTGAGCCTCTGATATATATATATATATATATATATATATATATATATCTCCCTTATATCTTATATGGGAAAGTTAGAGGGGTTCAAACGCCGACACGTGTCCATTTTCGACACATCCACTGCTTGACACGTGTCCCCAATTACCACAATTTATTACTTTTTCGCCATTACCATCCTAATCGCTTTTTCATTCGGACAGAATTGCCCTTTCTTTTGCTCATTGTTGGTGCTTTTTGCGAGTGTGTTTTTCGTAATTTAGTACATCACCTTTTTAGTTTATTACTTTATTGCCATTGGGTGCCAGTAAATGTTGCTTTATTATTTTGTGCTATCGGTGGATTTGGAAGATGATTTCCTGCCGGAAATTCAGGCCCGACGTGCGGCCACCGTCTCTTCCACGCCTTCTACAGTGATGTGATTGTTGTCAATTGTGTTGACCCAGCCATGGCGGTGGCTTAATTCTGAAGCAACAAAATTGGTCAAAACTATGTACAAAAACCTTTCTCTTCCATCTAACCTTCCTCTTCTTAAACCCTACCACCAACTCTCCTCTTGCGATTTCAGGAACCCTCCGCCGCACCGATGGAATGTCGGGAAATCTGCTGAGGCGGTATTGTACGGTCGTAGTTGGTGGGTCTGACAGACTTACTTTGTGAGTTAACTTGTCCGGCAAATCTGGGTAAGGTGTAGTACTTTTTTATTCTCGCACATTCTTTTCGGGTTAAGCTCACGAGAGATGAAGTTTAATTTCAAAAAATAAAAAAAAGCTCACGAGAGATGAGCTCTCTGCAACTATCGTTCTCTGCCATACATATGAGCTCTCTGCGACGCCGTACGCTAACTCAACGGCCTCGCGGTAGAAAGAAACCGGCGCCACCACCGTGAAACCGACCGTGATCTACCAGCTTTCGGCTCAAATTGGACGGCTTCTTCTTCAAAGGTCTATTTTGATTTTTGTAGGGTTTATCTTCTTTTAATTTTTACTGGTTTGCATCTGCCTATGGGTCTATATTTACTGATATTTTGGTTTTCAATGATTTGGGGATGATAAAATATTCCTTTTTATTTGGCCCCCAAATCAAGGTCAAAACCCTGATCGAGGTTTAAGCGAGTCCAGGGGCGGTGATATCGCGAAATGGATGGACGAGCCGCTGAAGTTAGAGGAGTTGGACTGGCTGGTGTGCTGGACAGCGTCCGTGTAGGAGATTGCTTTTTCCCTATTTTTTGGCTTGTCCCGACTTCTCATCGTCAAACACGTAACAATCACATCCCTATACGATTTCATGCACAAAACGGGGAGATGAAAAAGTGATGATTCTTTCCTGCTAGAACATTTGGTTGGTTAGTTGATTATACTGGCTCTGGTTCACGTGAATGGGAGCTTGTTTTGGTTGTGAGTCCAGCAAACACATGTTCACTTTCAAGAGCTGAGGTATCTGATCAATATTCTTATTCATATTTTAAACTACCACATGTTTCATTCATCTTTCTTCCCTTTTTATTCCTCCTGTTGACACTAGCCAACACTAGCCCAACAGTGAGCTTTTTCTTTGATTGTTTAAACTACATAACTGTGCTTCTTACTGAAGTTATATTCTAAGAGGGGTGCTTCTTTTGGAAGTTTGTTTATCAGGTTTACTTTGTCGAGTGAGGCGAAGCTTCCCCATATGATTGCAGGAATCGATTGGAATTTCAATAGCTATGGTGGTAAGCAAACTGCATCACTGCGTGAGAATTAACTGAGCAGTGTTTGTGATTGAAATCAAATTTTCTTATTAAATGTTATTAGCCTGATAATAGGACTCTAACACCAACCTTCATTTGAAAGCCTGGATGAAAATTCACATGAGAGAAATTCTGATTCAACTTAAAATTGGGGATTTGATCACTGACTTGATATCTATGGTTGACGCTATTGGCTTTCTTTGTCAAATCTCAGGCAATAAACATAATCCAGTGACATGACCAACCAACCTGGATATCTCGCCCAGGTAACTCTCGAACTTTTTTCTCATGCCTTGCTATGCTTTTTTGGCTTTCTATTCTTTTGCACCGGTTGATCAATTGAATTTCTTTTAATCATTTTGGTGAAAGCTTCTAAACAGCAATTCTATCTTGCTTTTTGCTGGAAGCTTATTTTTTGTTTCTTATTTTGGGTTATTGTATTACAAACTTCTGCATTCCCTCATACCCACAATACATACCCCTTAAATAAGTGCAGCGTGTAAAACTGAAACATGCATTTAAGAGGTATATGAGATTTTGAAAGGTGACAGTCTCCCCTTTTAATTTAGGCTAAACCATGAGATGTTAACTCAGATGGAAAATTAAAGCACAAAATTGTCTGATAAAAAAAGTGATTCAAAAGGATCTGATGCCCGCTCATAGTCAGAGCTTCGCAACCGGCCTCTTGGATCTTGAGAAATCCCGCGACGGCGAGCGCAAGGAGCAGAGGCAGCGTACCAGCCTCGCTGCGGGTGAACGTCCAACTCTTTGAACTTCAGCGGCTCATCGACCCATTTCGCGGCATTTCCGCACATGCTCTACTTGTAGATATGATTTAACTATCAAATTAGCTTTATATATATATATATATATGAGCACCTGATTCATTGCTTGTCCTTATTCTGCTTCCTTTTATTTTGAGCAATAAGTGTGGAAACAAATGTTAAGAATATGAGACTCAATTTGAAGAGTGATTGAATCTGATTGTGGATGTAGATAGTTAACGTAATGTGATATTGATTAAATTGTAGTTGAGTATGATTGTTGAAAGGGAAACTGGGATGTGATCATGTGAATTGAGTATCTTTTATGTAAATTCTAAGCAACCACTTGTTTGGGCAAAAAGTATTGTAAGCGAAAGTAGTATGAGTATTTAAATAGACCAACACTCCCGAGACATCCATCTGTACAGAATCTCCAGAAATTGTCTGAAGTGTGTTGTTGGTCCAAGCAATCAATTATAGGTATCTTATATATTCATTCCTAGATTGCTCATAAACAGATGCTTACGTTTGTAGTAAGAAAGTGCTGAAAAAATAAGAGGACCAAACATTATCAGGTATCTTTAAAGCATAAGATTGAGGGTACTATATAAAAATTGTGTGGTGAGACTCTTTTCAGTGGATAATCATAATATATAAGTATTTGCCGCTAAGGCTGCTGAAATGTATCCAAATTTATAAATAAGAGATAAAAATGCTGGCGAACTACTTGGTAAAGTGACGATCCTAATAACTCAAATGTTGGATTAGTCATATATATTTGATATCATCCTAATTGGATGTACAATGGCAATATATGATTTTTTTTTTTTTGTTTCCCTTTTCAGATTAGAAATGAAAAGCAATGAAGAGATTCTTGAAAGTAAGGTTGGAAAGCAGACACTGAAGAAAGGATTGCTGCTGGAATTCCAAAAAGACCCGGAGAGGTTGCTGCTGGTTGTTGTTGAGAAACCAGATGGCAAGAAGAATTGGGTAGTTACAGATCATGTAATGTCTTATGTTTGCATTTTAAGCACTCTAAGGTTCTTGTCACTCAGTTGTACTTTCTGGTTTTTCTGATTATGCAGAATGGAAACATGACATATATTAAGCCACATCAAATTACTTTCATTGTTCCTGGTGTCGAGAACTTTGACCAAACAGAGATATCAACCTTTGTTCAGAAAGCTCAACGTTATTTGGTATGTTGTCCTTGCAGTTCTGAATTAGTGAAAATTGACTTTAAATCTACTTGCAATGTCTAGAAACAAACAAATATACAGGTGTTATACCATCTGGCTCAATCCATATGACAGAAACAAAGAAAACAAGAGTCTGAAAATGCGATTTCCATTTTTCTTCTTTTTTTTTTTATATATATTTTATGTTTTTAGGTTTCTCAAACAAAAATTCAGCACTATTTTGAAAGTCTTTGTGGGAGGTTTGTGGTTCTGAATTGTGGAGGTTTTCGGGTCACGTGTTCATTGCGCGTGGCAAAATTGACTTGAAAAATGAGAAGACGAAGGGAGATGGTGGAGGGCCTAATGCCAGAGAAATTTGGCGGTGGAGAAATCGGCTGTGGAGATGTAGAGGAGAAATTTGGCGCGTTGGTGCCGGAGAATTAGGCCTTCCCGACGAATTTGAGGGATTTCGGTTAGAGAACACGTGCAATTCCTGTGGGGATGCAACCTCCTAATTCCAGGGCAATGCATCATCCTGTTTTCGAGCTCGACAGGAGGATCGATTGAGGTAGCGTATTAGACGAAATTTGCAGAGTTAGAATTACTTTTTTTTTTCATTTTTAATAATATTTAGGGTTGTATTTTTTCTTATAGAATTTTGGTTTATCATTTTGTGTGCAGAAAAAGCTCACTGTTGGTCTCTACAGCCTCCTCAAATTATTTCAATCTTTTTTATGACGAGGATGATCATAGCAGGAATCAGCTCGGGCACGGCCAGGATTCAGACCAGGTATTGTTACACTTGGCTACGTTTTCTTGTCTCATGATTAAAATTTGTGGACTTCTTGCTGGTTATGTGTTCTTCTCATTTCATAGGGCGCTCACGAGGAAATCCAAGCAGGAGAGTGTGTGTTTTTGTGTGTTCAGCCTCTTCTACAGAGTGTCATAAGTGGCCCCTCTATAAAATTCTTTTTTATGATGCTTGTAAAAGGTATTGGGGACATTATTTATTACAGGGACATATTATTGACCAATATTTAAGAATATACATTAGAACACAAAAGATTGAAATGTTCCATTGCTTATACTTTTATTGTTGTTTACATGAAGACTATTTCTTCTGGCTAGGCTCTGAGCCTGTGGGATGCCCTGCATGCACATCTAACACCCGAACACCACCGGCAGCATTAGGAAACGTATATAAAGCACCACAATCTTCTTGTTGTCCATTACGATAGTGGTCGCTACTTCAGGTCCTGCTTATTCCACCCGAGCTTTCGTGTCTTGACTTTTATGTCCAAATCCCTAGCGCCTTTGGTAAGTGAATCATTTGGCTTGCGCTATTGCTCTATTTAACTATTTAGGTCAATTACATATGTAATCTTTATCTGGAGTAATGTTATTGATTTTTAGTGTTTTCATTTGCGTTATCAGATCCTTTTATCGATGCAGCTGAAGATTTGGGTGCAGTGTCTAAAGAGTATGTGAATATTCGCATACAACAAAGTAATGGTAGGAAAAGCCTGACGGCTGTGCAGGGTTTAAGAAGGAGTTTAGCTACAACAATATCCTCAAGGACCTGAGGAATGAAACTGGCTGCAATGGCATTGTTGTTCAGGCCCCTCAGCTAGGCCAGGTGTCTATCCAACTATAAAACCTTATTATTCCATGATGCGTTTATGCCAGTCCTTTTATGTGCTTTTGTTCCGTAATTCTCATTTTCGTCTGCTGTTGATTATTCAACTCCAAGGTGACCATGGGCAGAATGTATTAAAATTCTTTGTGCAGATAGTTTCTAAATTATTTTTGATATTTTTCTTTGGTTATGGTATTTCTTCTGATGTTGCTCGAAAGGAACATCTTTCAGTTTTTGTATTTAGAAAGAGTTATTCTTTGTCCCCAGGCTGGCATTGTGAAGAAAGAACATATCAAAATTCATTGTCTCTGGAGCAGTGATGTTTATTGATCTTCTGTAGTTGAGGTATAAATGCTTTGTGATTTCGGTAATCGTTCTGATTATATTCCTCACTTCCAGGTGAAATATATTCCTCATCTACCTTCTTTTTTTTAGTTATTGTGAGTTTGGGTAAATTTAACTGACATAAATCAGTACGAGATAATTCCCTCTGCTGGTTTTCTAATGTAGCCATAGCCGCGCCCCTGTCTCCGGCGCCAGTAATGTTTGTTCTATCCGAACTGTTGTGTGGCTGCTGCCGGCTAAACCGAATGATTTAGTGAAGACATCACTCCCCGGGTTTCTACTGTTGAATTGTAAGGAGAGTTTTATTTTGCTTGGCATATTAAATGTTATTCTTCTTATATTCAACTATAATTTGAGTTTATTTTGCTGGGCATGTTCAACAATATTCTTAAATTGTTTTGTGATTTGGTAGTTGGTTGCTTGGGGAAATGTTGGTTCATTTTTAACTTTCTTAAAAGTTTATACTTTTGCTTTTGTTCAGGCACTGAAGAAAGGGCTGTTGCTAGAATTCCGGAAAGACCCGAAGAGGTTGCTGGTAGCTGTTGTCGAGAAACCAGATTGCAAAAAGATTTGGATAGTTACAGATCATGTAACTTCTTATGTTTGCATTTTAAGCACTCTCAAGTTTTGGTCTGTGCTTTCTGTCTTTTGGAAACATGACATATTAAGCCACAACAAATTACTTTCATTGTTCATGGTGTCGAGAAGTTAGACCAAACAGAGATATCGATCTTTGTTTAAAAAGCTGAAGATAATTTGGATTGTTGTCCTTGCAGTTCTAAATTAATGGACAATTGCCAATAGTGAATAATGTTTTATTAGCCATCTATTTCACAAGTAACCATAGTTGTCACATTTTCGCACCAACATAGGTTATTTCAACAACAAAACAGCTGTAACACAATGCAACCTTATAACACATATTATCAGATAAAAGGTGCGTATGTGTATTTTTACACCGGGTGTTAGACCGCCGTGCGTGCACGGCGTAAACCCATCTAGTATATATATATATATATATATATATATAATTTTGGTCATCATCATCACCTCATCACCGCCGTCCGCCGCCGTGATCCATCGCGGAAAAGCACCCATTGCCGCCGGAAGCCGTCCGTGACCAGCCGATCGCAACTGCGATTCACCACCCGCAGTGGCGCCCAGCCAGTCGCAGTCCCAGCTCCCGCAGCTACGCCCAGGACCACCGCACGAAGGCCCGACGCCTGTTCGTGCATCACCACGTTCGTCGATCGTCCCCAGTGCGTGACTGCAATACGCGCATCGCCGCTGCTCATCCACATTGTCTGCTTGCTACTACCGATCGCGAAGTCCCAGCGCGCGCCAGTTCACACGCGCACACTCCTCGCACGCCCAGGAGTCTTGCTGCCCACGCCTGCGTGTGTCCACTTGCCAGCGCCAGTCCGCGACCGCCTAGGAGTCCCGCCAGCAGTCCGCGACATTCGTTGCGACCCGCGTACACGCACGCTGTCCGCGCCCAACGCGCACGAGCTGCCCGCTACACCCGACGACCGAGATCCGGGCACCGTGTGATCAACTTTCGTGGAACCTATTGACTAGAATCGATTGAAGGCCAAATCTACCTGCCCATTAGATTGTGGTGTCCAGACGAACTTCATCAACGGTACTCTACATCGTCTCAGAGTCGACAAAATTTTAAAAGGTAAACGCCCATATCCTAACTATAGATTCCGATGAGTTAGGATTTATTTCGATAAAGTTCAATACTGTGCATGTTGTTTGACGTTCCTCACAGAACCCAAAGTCGGGTAAATTATGGAGGCTTGAAAATAGAGTCACTAGTCCGAATTTACCTGGGGGCTTGAAGCCGGAGTTTCCATGGCAAAGCCAAGATCACTAGTAAAAAGAAGACCAAATTCAGAGCTAGATATCCAGATTTTTAGTTATGATTAGTACTTTTGTACTTTGTATTTTCAGTTTCTAGTTTATAGTCCAGATGGACTTAGGCTTTTGTTTAGCATTTCCGAGGACTGAAATATTTTAAGGAGGATAGATTGTAAGCCCCGGCCCAAAAAATTATATAATTAGCTCGACTTTATTTATCAGAATTAGTAATATTTTAATTATGTCGAGAATTATTAGAAGTAATCGCATAATTTATTTTATTTCAAGTATAAGCCATAAAAAGATTGTTCGATTTATTGTTTTGGGAATAAGATATAAAATCCTAAGTCTAAGACTCGGTTAGTTATTTTTATCGGGTATTAAAAAAAAGTCGGGAATATATTTAATTCCGAACAAGCCCAATTATTTTATTGGGCCCAACTATTTAATCGATATATTTTAAATCCTGGCCGAATTTATTTTTTATAGTCGGCCCTTTTTAATTCTAGTAGTCGAGTTAATTTCTAGATCAAGTGGCATTTTAAATGTTCCGAGCCCAAGTCGACTAATAATTCTAGCTCGTTTTTAGAGGCCCAAAGTGAAATCCCAACAAGAGCATCAAACTCTAATCTTAGGCTATCGATAGATAGAAGACTTAGCTCCCACCACTACAAAAAGCAAAACCTTATCCTAAGTCACTATTCATCTTCTTCACCATCAAGCTTCAAGTTTTTCATCTCACCTTCAAGCTTCAAGAACCCTCCACCACCACTCAAAATCCGGCGAGCTCGTCACATTACCGGCCACCGTGACCGGACTCCGGCGAGACCAAACTCAGCCCGCCAAATCCCAGCTCCTCACCTCGAGCCCGCGACCCACTCCTTGTTCAGCCCGCACCTCCCGCGTGAAGGCCCGCAGCTCGAGCTCCGACGACTTTTTCTCAGCAGCCCCACGCCATCTGCGCTCCGGTCAAGCTTCAGCTCGCAGCTCCCAACATCAGTCCGCCATCTCCTAGCTCGAGCCCGCACATCACGCCTGAGGCCCGTTCACGCGCACAGTAGCCCGTCATCCACAACCCGACGTTCGTACAACCAGCGAACCAACACCTCTGAGCCGGACAGTAGCAAAACGCGAAGCTCCAACCACCGGTCATCCTCCACGCGCGCCTCCCAAGATC